AGCTGAGTAAGGGGGGCATTAAACATCATCTCGAGTCATTGGTCTAAGTCAGCGGTTCTCAACCTTCCTCATGCCGCAACCCTTTCATGCAGTTCCTCACGTGGTGGTGACCCCCGACCACAAAATCATTTTTGTTGCTACTTCATCACTGTCATTTTGCTACTGTTATGAATTGGGTGACCTCTGTGAAAGGGTCGTTCGACCCCCCAAAGGGGTTGCAACCCACAGGTTGAGAACCGCTGGTCTAGGGGATCTTGGAGGGTGGAGGTGCTATGGCAGTAAGGGGGGAGGGGCAGCAGGGACTGAGTCTGAGCTGAGGCCCTTGGGTTGGAGAGAGAGACACACGGCTCCAAGCTCTCTCACCCAGGGAGCCCGCCCTCCTGAGTGACCTCCCCCTGGAGGCCCTCCTCAGGCGTGTCTTGTTGGGTTGTAACTCGGCAGCCACGGCTGGCCTTGCTGGTGTGGCCTCCTACATCTCAGCGTCTGCCCCTCCCCATGCATCCACACACGTCTAAACCCTAACCCTGACTCAAGGCTATCGAGTGGACGCCACGCCAACTCAGAGCGGTCCTGAGGGCAGGGTAGAAGTGCCCCTGTGTGTTTCTAGGGCTGGAGCCCTTTACGGGAGCAGAAAGTCACATCTTTGTCCCAAGGGGCAGAGGGCCGCTTCTAACTGCTGACCTTGTGGTTAGCAGTCCAACGCATAAGCCAGGACACCACCGGGGCTCCCAGTACACAGCTAATCGTGGTTGGGATTGGGGAAGGGAGGAAGAAAGGGCAGGACAGCGCTGGTGTTCTCAGCAGGTGATGGCTGAAGCCCCTCCAGGAAGAACTCAAAGCATGGTGGTCAGCAGGAGACATGAAGGGGAGGGCAGGGGCCGAAGACCACTGTGCCCCAGAAGGAGAGAGCGGGGAGAATAAGGAATAAGTCCCTCTCTACTTGAGATAAAACTCCCAGTCAGACGTTTGGAAGAATTTCAAAACCAGGAGAGTGCAGACTTGGAGCTTAAGTGACTCGGTGACCTGCGTTCCCCTGGGGGCCTTGAAACACAAGGGAGATTCTAGCATCTTCTCTATGATTCCATTGCGGTGCGTGAGCATGAAGGAGAGCATGCACGGCTGCAATCACCACCAGGACTCGCCCGTTCCGCAGATTCACAAAGGCCGTCTCAGGTCGTCCCACAGGCTCCCTGCCACCCGAGAGGCAGTCTGCCTCCCCATTTGCACACAAGGAAAACTGAGGCCCTGGTGGGGGGGCTGCAGCTCCTTACGTGGGCCACATTGCTTGCTCCCATCAGCTGCTGCACAGTCGGGAAATCGCTCCACAGTTTGGAGCTGCACTCTGTACTGCGGCAGATCACAGGCTTTCCTTTTGCTGGCCTCAGAGGGGGTTCAACTCACCTGCTCTTCAGTTTAGCCCCTGACTACTGACTGCTTGCGACAGATGGCCAAACCCCTGACCCAGTTCTGAACCCCCATCTTAGCCGCCAGGTTACAGAAACTGCCAAGCAGGGCAAGATTGAAGGCGTGAATCTCACCCTTTCGGACTGGGCTCTTTAAAAACAATCATTCTTAAGGGGACCGAAGGGTTGACAGGGACTGAAAGCCCATGGAAGTGAGATGTTGGAGTGGGGGGTGAGACAAAGTGAGCGGGAGTGGAAATCACAACCGGGAGCGAAACAACGCGAAAACAGACGCAAACCACCGACTGTCACCAGGGTGTAGACACTGCCGGGTGGCTGGGGACCTGTACTTCCACGGAATCCACAATGAAACGTCGTGACAAAGCGGGAGCCCCGAGATGCTAGCTACTATCCGAGGCGCGCTTGCTGGAAGGCTCTGGGCAGCCCAGGGGATAGCTCTACACCAGGGGGTTCTTAACCCCCTTTGGGGGTCCAACCACCCTTTCACAGGGGTCAACCGATTCATAACAGTAGCAAAACGACCGACAGTGATGAAGTAGCAATGAAAATAATGTTCTGGTTGGGGAGTCACCACCACATGAGGAACTGTATGAAAGGGTCCAGACATGAAGAAGGTTGAGAACCACTGGTCTACACTTTTTGTTTTCCAAGGGAGACCACTTCCCCTTCTTTAGCGTCCACCTGCCCTGGCCCACTCCTCACTGGGCCCCACAGTCAGGGACGACTCCCACATGCTTTTGGGGAGTCTGTGCAGCAGCCTGAGAAAATGTTCTCATTTCTCTTAAAATCAGAGGGCAAATGTGAATGCTTAGGTCCAAAACCATGCTTTATGATGCAATGCTACCATGTTCGCCTTGACACCAATGTAGTCACAAAGTGTCATTCGCTTAGTGCTCATTTATCCAGAGAGGGACCCACAAAAGTCAAAATGTGGCCCAGGCACAGACAGATTCTCTCGGCCTCCCTCTGCCAGGCCCAGTATCTCCTCTCCCGCGTGGCTCATGACCCCCTCCTCCCTGCAGCAGGACTTCAGGAGGACCGACCAGCAGGGGTCCAGGAAAAGGAACTTCTGGTGCCCCTCAGCCAGCTCTAGGGGCCCTGGGGGTCTCAAACTCTGTGAGTCTCCATGATTCTTCTAGAACAGGAAGGGAGTTGAACTAGAATCGGAAGCCATGACCTTTTCTGCTCCGTGGTCCCAAATCTTGGGTGGGCTAAGTCTTGGGAGCCTAAGTGAATTTGCGTTGAACACGCTTGGTTCCACCTCCTGTCTGTGGGAAGTTGGACAAGCTAATCTCCATGCCCCGGGCAGCACACCTGTGAAATGGGAATCGTGATCATAGCACCTCCTTTCCAGGTGGCTGAGACACAGCATATTAGGCATTTTGCATGGCGCCCATCAACAATAAGTGCTCAAAACAGACGACGTGTCTTTATTACTAACTGTTTGATATTTCAACTCAGAAATACCCCTCAAAATAACAAAATGGTACTTTAAAAAAATGCCCCCCTTGGGCCACTGCACCCCATTTTCTCCTGGGCAGTGTGCTCTTGGCTCCTGAGCTCGGGCATCACCCTTCTGTCCCATCCCCCAGTGAGGGGTGACAGCTGGAACCCCATCCTCCAGGGAGGGGCGGAAGTGCTGTGGGGGAGGAGGGGAGGAGAGGTGGTCAGCTGACCTGACAGCTGGCATAGAGACAACACCCTACCCACCGTTGTTCCCTCTCTCAAAAAAACTGTAAAGTTCTGACTCAAACTTCTGGGCATGCCACCATTCGCTCTGCTCTTCTGTGCAAATGCCACTCTGTCTCCCATCTACCAGGGACAGAGAACAATCAGGTCTGGGAGGAACACCTCTCATTTCACCAGACCCTCCATCAGTGCCTGCTCTAGCTCCCCCTCCCTCGATTTCTGTCCCTGGATACCCTCTCTCAGGAGACCCCTCCTCTGGGACAGAGGCAGCCCCACCCCTCACCTCTCACACGCCCCCTTTAGTCCTCCAAGTGCCTTTCAAGCCCTCCTCCCCGCCCCCAGACAGCTCTGAAAAGCTGCCCCCTTTGCCCCTTTCCCTGGGTCTCTAGGGGACTTGCACAGCGGGTGGCCGTTGCTATGGAGACCCGCCTGCACCCTAGTCCCACCCTCCTCTCCAACCCTGCACCCCTTGTGAGCTGAGCCTCCCCACACGGAAAAGCTGCATTGCAATGGGGGGTGGGGGGGGGATGGAGCTGATACCAAGGGCTCAAATAGAAAGAAAATGTTTAGAAAAGGATAATGGCGACATAGGCACAATTGTGCTTGATACGGTGGGTGTATGGAATGTTGTAAGAGCTGTAAGAACCCCCACTAAATTATCAAAAAGAAAGCTGGTCCCAGCGATCACATACGTCTGAACTCCCCAGTTCTTCCACTCTTCTGCCAGTCCCCGCTCCAGTGACGACCCACAAGTTCACACCCTAGTTTCTCACACGCTGCCCCTCAACCCTCTAAAGCTCCCAAGAGCATCCTTCCCCCACCCCCACCCCCTGCCCCAAGAGAACAACAGAGCTCTTAAGGAAAAAGGAGGGTTGGTGCTAGGGCTGATTTAAAGTAGGCTCTCTCCCCGAACACCACCTTTCCCTTTAACCCTCACGAACCCCCCCCCCCACCATCCCTTCCACCCCCACCGCCCGGGAAAGCTGGGACTACAATTCCCAGCAGGCCTAGCAGCCTTAAGTCCTGGGCTGAAGGAGCAAGGCACGCCGGGAGATGGAGTCTCGGCGTGTTGCACCTGCCGCAGGAACCAGCGGTGGGAGGAGGCTGGACGGGGAAGATGGAGTGCGGATGCGGTGGGAGCAGCCTGCAGGGATTCTCCCCGCCTCCCCCGCCTCCCAAACCCAAGCCTTTCCGTCCTCTGCGGAAGCAGAAGGACACACGCCCGTCCCCTGCCCTTCTCCAAGGTCCGGGAGAGAAAGCGCCCCCTCACCCTGCCGACTCCCTCCCCCAGCCCGGCAGCTCCTGCCCGGACACTGAACCCAGAGTTGTTCCCGGCTGGGCCCGACCCACTTGACCCTCGGGGAAAGGGCCGGGAGAGGGCGGGGCTGAAGAGAGGGCACAACTGTCCACACGTGTAGGCAAAATGACTGGTCCGCACGCGGCATGCAAATGAGCTCAGGGGCCCCTCCCTTCTAAGGTCAGGGCGCTAGAAGGGCACCTGTTTTTGTTTTAACCTGGAGAGGTCCTCTCTCACCCACGCCCCCCTCGGCCCCCCGAAGTCACTCACTCACCACCTTCCAGCGGTCCTTGACCACGTAGTTGGCCGGCAGGATGTCGGCCTGCTCCCCTCCCCCACTCATGTTGGTTTCGTCCTTAAGAGCAGCCGCTAGGCACTGCATCCGCCAGCCGGAGGGAGGGGTGTCCGCAGGGCCTGCCCTGGGGGGGCCATCTACCTGAGGGAGTTGGGGGGGGCTGTGAGTGGGGTCG